ATACCTCCTAACAGGCTTGCTCAGCTTTTTAATGGCATCAGACTTGTACAGACAGTTTTTAGGCAAAGGTTGCGCCGAAATGAGCAGGCTGTCTTAATGTTGCAAGCAGCATTTAGAAGAAGACTGTTGTATAAGGTAGCTGAAAATCATTTGAACTCTTCTAGTAAAGGCCATGCTAGTATCCTCATCAGAAGGATTATTTTGGTGCAAACAGCAGTCAGAAGACATACCAGGAGGAAAAGAGAGGCATGTCTATTGATTCAGACAGCTTTCAGAAGAAAGCTACTTGTAAAAGTTTCAAGGAATTATAATCAAGATAATATACTATCAGTGATTCAGGCTACCAACCTCATTAGAGGCATCATTCTCCTTCAATCTGCAATCAGGAGACAACTAAATGCTGATGAAAGAGGAGTCTTACTGATGCAAGCTGCATATAGAAAGCATCAGCTCCTCAAGGTCAGTTCTTCAGCTAAAGCAGCTGATGCTTCATCTAAACCTGAGATAATGATCAGAGCAGTATTGTTGGTTCAATCAGCCTTTCGACAAAAACTACATACCAAAAACTCTGATCAGGTTCAGTATAAACAACTTATATTGGTTCTTCAAGCTGCATTTAGGCGGCATCTCATGTTAAAGTTGTGTGGTAGGCTTTCCAACACCAGTTCTTTACCTGCAGGGAATCTAGTCCGTGGGATCATCTTAGTCCAATCTTCCATAAGGAATCAAATGAGAAGTAAGGAAAAAGGCATACTTATGTTACAAGCAGTTTTCAGAAGAAATTTGCTGATGAAGGTCTTCAGACAACTTCCTGATAAACAAAGTCTGAAACCAGAAAATCTCATAAGGGGTATCTTATTGTTCCAAAGTGCAATTAGGTACCACCTTCAAAAGAAGGAACAATATGTCATTATGCTTCAAGCAGCTTTCAGAAGGCATCTGCTGATGAAAGTCTTTTGGCATCTGCCAGTTGAAAAGCAGATGGTAACTCAACCAGAACAGCTTGTTAAAGGCATTGTATTGTTTCAATCAGCTATAAGGTATCATGAAAAACAAAAAGAGACTGGTATTAAAATGCTTCAGGCAGCATTTAGAAGACGATTACTGTTGAAAGTTTTCAATGAAATACCTTATGAAAGACAAGCCTTCTACAGACCCGAAAAACTTCTTCGAGGTATTTTATTGTTTCAGTCAGCAATAAGAGATCATCAGATGAAAAAAGAGCATGGGGTTCTTCTCCTGCAAGCTGCTTTCAGGAAACGTTTGTTATTTAAAGTCTTTGACAAGCTTCCATACACTACTCAACTTTCTTCAAGACCTGAGAATCTCCTCCGAGGTGTCATGCTGTTTCAATCTGCTGTCAGACATCATATGAGACAAAAGGCGAAGGGGGTGCTCATCCTTCAGGTTGCTTTCAGAAGGCATCTCCTAATGAAAGTGTTCAAAGAACTTCCAAAGAAAAATCAGGTGTCTCTCAGGCCTGAGAATCTCATCAGGGGTATAATATTATTCCAATCAGCAATTAGATATCATCTTGAGATGAGAGAACAATCTATTTTGATGTTGCAGACAGCTTTTAGAAGGAGACTTCTCCTTAAAGCTGTGTCCAAAGTTTCAAGGCAAAGTTCTTCAGATAATTTAATAAGAGGCATAGTTTTGTTTCAATCAGTTATTCGCTACCAACAAGAGAGGAAACGCAAAGCAGCAGTCATGGTGCAAACTGCATTTAGGATGAAACTGCTTCAAAATGTCACCATGATGACAAGACAAAATAAATTTAGAGATTGTTTACGAATTGAACGACTCATTCGTGGCATTATCCTTTTCCAATCTTCCATTAGGTATCATCAACAACAAAAATTGAACGCTGCCCTCTTGCTTCAAGCTGCCTTCAGACGCAAGCTGCTTTTGAAAGTTGTTGAGAGAGCTAATGTTGATGTTGAGTTCAAAGGAGAAAGTTTGGAAAGACACTAAAAGTGTTCCAGACAAAGAAATGCAAATATCCAAAACAATCAAGTCAGTCATTCTTGTCCAATCTATCATCAGAAGACATCTTGAAAGACATGAACGTCGAGTCATTCTCATACAAACTGCGTTTAGGACAAGACTGTTGCTGAAGATAGCACGTCAGGGAGAGGATTCTCATCCCAGTCCAGTTAACGTAGTTCTCCTGGCTAAAGCCGTCATACAAATACAAACAATATTCAGAGTGAAGCTCAAGAGAAAGGAAGCGAGTATCATTTTAGTCCAATCAGCCTTTCGAAGGAGGCTGTTGATTAAAGTAGCCAACACAATTCAACCAAACATACCCGTCTCTCAATTGCTTCGTTCCGTTTTGTTTGTCCAATCTATTATCAGAGTTAAGCTTCATCGAAAACGTGAAAACACTTTGTTCATTCAAGTGGCCATTCGACAAACTTTAATGAAAAGGGTGGCAAAGAGATTCTCTCAAACTTCAGAAAAGGAACCTGAAAATTTCTCTGCTGTTAGATTAGTTAAGGCAGCCATCTTGATTCAGACTGCTTTCAGACAACGATTAGAAAGAATGGAAGGTGGTGCTAGATTGATTCAGAATGCCTACAGAACTAGACTATTATTAAAAACTATTGATTATGACCTGGATGATCTCAAATAAATCTTATATTCTTACCCCGTGGGAAATTATGAAAATAATTAATGAACTTAGTACAGAGAGGGCCAATATATCAAATATCTCTATAGACAAACAATAATAGACAATAATAAAAAAAAGTTCTATAAACATTTGGGACTGTAGGACTAGAATCCGTGTGACATTTTCTGGTAGTGCAACAGAACTGTTAAACATTGTTTTAAGTGGTTTTTTTTATCCCCTTTTCATTCAGTATGTATAGATGATGCAAGTATGTCTGCTCATTTGTGAATGGTAATTTTACTTGTGAAAAGATTCTCTGAATTCATCATGTTTTTTATTTGTTGTGGTTTTGTTTGTCAATTTTGGATGTAGTGCTGATTTTGCATACCCAGTCGTCATTTTTTAGACGATTGGTTTAAAAATAAGGGTTAAGGAAAGGAATGAAATAAGTTTAACATCCTACTTTTCTGCACTATGTGACCTAATGAAGACGCCATGCAGGGTGCAATTGCCAGAACAGTGGCATTAGCCGGCTCTTTTTCGAATTCCAACTGTAGAGGGATCTTTAAGGTGTACAGCCTGTAGCTAACAGGGCCTCGGTTTATTGACCCATTCGAACCCATTACCTGCATCACTGACAGGAGGAAACCGGGTTGAAAAATCCGTAGGTATTACCTTGACCTATGCCGGGATTGAACCCTGGAATTTAAGGTTAGCAAGCAAGCTACGAACTCATTGAGCTCAATATTTGGATATGCTTGCTTTAGTGCATAGTGAGTCAGCTACAATTAACAACAGCTAGATTACTTTATGTAGGTTACTCTGAATAATGGATGCCTTTTCTGTCCTTCATGTAGGCATTCAGGCATTTTTATGGAAAACTTTGGATAACCCATGTTGTGTTTTTTAATATATAAAAATAGATTTTTCATAAAAATTGGTCTTAATTGGGCTTTATTATAGACTGAGATAGTTTGAAGTATTAATACATTCTATAGTTAACTATGTTTCTTTACATATTTCATCTTAATAAGTTGTTGTGTGATATCTTGGTGTCTCTTTACAATGTCCGTACAGTTTACTTATAGAGGTTTAAATCATATACTACTACCTGGTTTAGCTAATTTGCATATAATTATGTTAATTCTATGTAAATATTTTAAACATTTTTAAAAATTTTATACTCCTGTTGTTATATTTACTGATATTTATTGATGTTGTTGATCTTGTTGAATTGATAATATAAGATAATTTTAACCATATCACTTGTTTTCATCAACAAATTCTGAAAATGGTTGTATCTGAAGATAAAATCCAGTCAAAGTGGTCTGCCTATGTTTTCTCCCACCTCAAGTTTTCTAGAATTACAGTTACAAAAAATATGGGCATAGGTATATTTCAGGCTTTTGATTCCTTTTAAACATATGTACACTTTACAACTCAATACAGAACAGAAGTGTCATCCCTTTAAAGGGACAGGTAGTCCATTATTTTGACCAATCATACTTGAAATATGAGCCTTCAAATCCATGTGTGTCCAGAATTATCTGCGTTTGAATGTTAGAATGACGACTCATCAATTTAAGATATTCTGTGATATATAGAAAAGATATATATAGAAATAGTGAGTAAAATTACTAGTTTGAAGTATTTTAAAGGAATTATGTGATTTTTATACATTTCTAGTACTTCTGAAAACTATTAACATATATTCAAGACTTAAATCAACCTGTCCCTTTAACAGATAAAATACCACTTTGGCCTCATGCTATGATCAGTGTAATACTCAATCTTCTGTTATGGAGGATGTTTTAATTAGCAAAGAACAGGTATATTCATCTTGGTAAACTTTGATACTATTAACGTAAAGTTGGAATTTTGTATTGTATTAAATGGGAGACAACTCTAATGAAGGAGGGCAAGAAAAAATCATGCAGTAGAACTTTTCATATCTTTAAAAAATTTGCATTTTGAGCTTTTTAAGATGGAAGCTTTCAGCCTCGAAAATAGTTTGAAATAGTAAAAACATCTGGTATTAGCTTTCTTGTGCAATAGAGGGCACATTAAAAGCTTACTACTGCTTCCATAGATCTTCCACTGTAGACATTATGCCCATCTTATCCACTGTGTTAATAATAGTTAAACCTTTTCCTTTGATTTATATTTCAGTTATCCATTTTTATTTTCAGCTTTCTATTGTTGATTTTTGCTTGATGTTTACTAAATCATTTAGAAAATTAAAGTTAAAAAATATTTTTGTCTTCAGAAGTAATTATTTAAAAAAATAGTTTTTCAAACCTCGATATTAGCTAAATGTAACAATTAATCTTTCGCAATTGTTCACCTCAAAAAATTTGAATGCTAAAACTTAGACTTTTGCTTACAGACTGACAAGAAGGCTGAAGAACCAGCACCAACAGAAGCTGAAGATGAAGTAGATATTGACCTCAATGATCCAGAAGTAGAGAAGGCAGCAGTCAAAATCCAAGCTGGATTCAAGGGTTTCAAGGCCAGGAAAGAAGTCAAAGACACAAAAACTAAGGTGATTGATCAAATTTCATGTCCAGTTTATGTAAGCTACCTTCACATGCATTGTGTCCAAATATGAATATAAAGACCTTAGCCATTTTGCTTGAATCATATATATCCATTGCGTGTTGCAACTCTCCCATAAAATTTAAAGATTCTTCACTTGCAAGGATGTAAATCTTAATCTGGAAGATAATCAAGATACATATAGTGACTGATGGTATTCCTAAATGTTGATGCCCAAAATACCTTCAAACGTACAGTATTGCAGTGTTCCATTTGTGTTCATCCTATATTTATGGTTCAATGAAAAGTGTATTTCTTATTATATCAGGGTACTGAAGAAGAAAAACCAGCTGAAGAAGTACCAGCTCCACAAAAGCCAGCTGAAGAAGAGGAAGAGATTGACATAGATTTGGATGCTCCTGAAACTGAGAAGGCAGCACTGGCTATCCAAGCTAACTTTCGAGGATTCAAGGCTAGAAAAGATCTGAAATCTTCTAAAGCAGCTGAAGAGAAACCTGTCACTCCTCCAGAAGAACCTCAACCAGCAGCTGAAAAACCTAAAGCTGAAGAAGAAGAAGAGGTTGATATTGATTTGAATGATCCAGAGGTAGAGAAGGCAGCTGTTAAAATCCAAGCCAGTTTCAAAGGCTTTAAAACTCGAAAAGAAATGAAGGATCAGCCGACTGAAGCTGCAGCTGTTCAGGATGAACCAGAAGTTTCTAAAGTAGAGATCAAGACTGAAGAGGCCACTCCCAAGGATGGAGCCACACAAGAAGAAGAAGAAATTGACATAGATCTAGAGGATCCTGAAGTTGAAAAAGCTGCTCTAAAAATTCAAGCCAGTTTTAAAGGATTTAAGACCAGAAAAGGGGTAAAGGACCAGAAAAAGGACAGCGAAGAACCAAAAGGAGAGCAATAAAAAAAAAAGTGCCAAATATTCATATATCATTTTGGAACCATTTTGTCAATTTTGTAAATCTTATTTTTCGATTCTAATATTTAGTCTTTGGAAATTTCTTTGATCTGACAGATACAAAAACATTGTCAAAATGATTCCAAATTGAACAATTTTTTGTGAAATCACTCATTTGTGAATTTTTGTGGTAGGTCTGTCAAAATGTACTGTTTAACTATACTCTTTAGCACTTCTACACTTCCTTCTGGCTCTTCTATGCTAGGATTATAAGTCTTTTTAACAACAGAGATAACTTTTGAAGCTGCAAGAACCATACAAAAGACTGCAGTTATTTTGGACATTGTTGTTTATCGCCATGGTAAAAATATAATTGGTATTGATGTTAAACTTCTTAAAGCACTTGTCTTTTATCTCTTTTTGAATCCCTTGCCTAGTGCTACACTTTAATAATTCAAAATATTTAAATTATTTTATCTTTTATTTTTGATGAATTTTCACATTTTTGACCTTTTACTAGATTTTAGAAACTTTTTTATATGAAATTATGGCTTGATTTGGATTGAAAGTTACTTGCCATTTTTGGAAAAAACTTCCATAATAAGAGATCATAACATAACTGATTTCTGAAGGGTCAGCCATAATTTTGTGAACATAATGTATATTTTCCAATTTTGAACCATTTTGGTTAAAGGTAGATAACTCTAGTTAAAATACACCATCGGTGGAAGGTGAGACGCTTGGTATCTATGCATTATGTACAGTATATTATAATCATAAGCCCTTTATCAAATAATTTCTCCTTTATTTCATACTCTGGCCCTTCTGCATGAAAAATGGATCTTTTGGAGGGAAACAGATCCCAAATTTTTTTTGAATTGCTTTAGAAGTACCTAAATGAATTTCCAAAGGAGGTAGATAGATCTTAATTTTGCTTGAAGCCAACTTTATCAGTTGTTTTGAGATGGACTGGGAGCATAGAATTTATAGATATTATGGTAAAAATTCTATTTAGATTTTTCTTCCACAAGGAGTAATTTATTTGATGAAGGGCTTCTAGTTTGTTTTTTAACTCAGCATTTTAAATATGCTGTTTTAATCTTTAGACACAAAAATTGGGCTTCAATTCTTGATAGCCGACTCAATGGCATTTAAAGAAGCAAGGTAAACAGCATTGGGTCCTCCCTGAGCTTAATTAAGCATCCTTGTGAATCTAAGAATAGCTTTGAGTCAGTTTTCAAGAATGTAACCTAGATCATAGGGTTATAGAATCTTCGAATCAAAACATTCCATTCTAGAATATAATATTTTGAATCACAAATGAGATATTTATCACTGTGATATGTAAAATTGGAAAAAGGGAACAATCAAAATATATTAGGCAGTACGGAATTCAAGGAGGTGCTTGGATTTAAAGGTACCAAAACTTACAGGAAAAAACATCTAGAAATCTGCTACCATCGGTAAGAAGCATCCAGAGGTTAAGAGATATACCGTATAATTGCGAATATAGTGCGCACCCTTAATGTCTGTACTGTTATTAGTTTTTGTAAAACATTCCATCACTTACTCTGTTAATTTAGGCAACTGTGTGTGAAGGTGTACCTCTCAAATCCCATCCAACTTAGCAGCACTATGCATTGTGAAGGTCGAACTAGATCGAATTTTATACTTTTTTCTGCTAACACACCTGTCCATCTTATCTGAAGCAGGTTTTCATAATACCAAACATTCTGAGTGATAGTACAAGACGAAGGTTTTAACCAAAATTATCCATAAAAATTGTCACAAGAAGGTTTTGATATGTCTAGTATATGGCCTATATGACAGGCTAATTTATCAGAAAACATTTTAATCTATGAAAAAGTATAGAATAATGGTTTAGGTTGTACCTTTAATTTGATGTTTTCCACCAATGTAATATAATGGATAATAATAATATGAATTCAGGCATATCCAATAATTGTGATATTTAGCATTATTATATTATACACATAATTCTTGTTATTTATTTGTAGATTATCAATATACAATAAAAACCCATTCCAGTTTATTATCTTTATTATACACCCTCAACAGGTGTATGTGTCGGGTACATCTATACACGTGTCGGGGGAAAAATTTTGCTGTAGGAAAGGCGGGGGAACAAATAAGGACCGACTGACTTTATGGGCGATAGCTGTCGATGTTTGAAAAAAATGAAGTTGATTCCATGCCTTCTGGCACGTATAAAACGTATAAAAATCATACTTTTTAATTCGTTAGAAAAAAATTTGGTGTGGTTCCATTGATTCTGCCACCAGAGACAATCTTTTCACAAGAAACATTCACAATCTGCGGTTTTGTCTTGTTATATAACTAGAACTGTGCATATACAATGGGATAGAGCCTCCAAGTAGTCAACGCCTTCTTGCCAATGCAGAAAATAGACAAAGCAAAAATATTATCTGCATTTTGATTTGATCGCTGACTGTTTCTGTCTGCCTTGAGGACACACGGTTCCGGAACGGTAAATATGTGTGATTCAGCACAGACATTGATGACATTTAGGGCGAATCAAAAGCTCGATGTATGGTGTGATTCTCTTTTTATCTAACATAAAACTACAAACAGGTGACAATGGACATGGATACAAAACGACAATATAGGCATACCTGTCACAGCGTATTTCTATTAGCGGGAAAAGGTCAGATTGTACAGTTTTGCGGAAGAATTATGTGCATGAAACTGTTACATGATTTCGAACAGTCATTTAATTGTGATGTATGCGAGCCGACGGAGAAATAACCAAGACTGCAGAACAGAAGCGCGAGCTCCGTAAAGCTCTCGACCACAGGGAGATTCCGCGAAAGAAACGACCTCATCAGTCATCATTGCACTGCTCTTGATATCCATCTTCAAAATAAAGTATGTGGTCATATTCGACTAACAACAGTAATATTTACATTTCAGTATACAGAATTGATCACTTTCTCTCTCAGATTTTGAGAGTGAATCTTAAAATGTGGAATAGGCTTTCTAGTATAAATCTGAGGTCCGTCACAGGTATGCCAACAGGTACGATAATACGTTACAACACATGACTAACAAAAACTAGTCTACAAAAAACAGATTACATTGGTGTTGATCCCTTGGATGTCGTCTGCGTATTCCATGTCATTTGGTTGGCTGCAGCCATATTGCTTCCTGCCAGTCCCATTCCCATTCCGTTCATCAGACCTGCTGCAGGTGGGACGGGACCACCACTACTGATCATCTGCGCATTGGGTGCTGGGAGTACTGGCATGGCGTTGCCTGATGAAGCTTTTGTTCCACTGATGGTGTTGGTGTTGAAGGCTGAACCAGTTTTAGCCATGGCGTTATTGGCGAGTGGAAGGACATAAGGGTTATATTGTGGCCATTGCATATTATTAAAGAGTGGCCATGTGTATCTCGCATTGGGTACCCATCTCCAGGTGATTGATGGTGGTTTGACCATTGGTGGAGGAGGAGTTGGTGGTAATGTTGGTGCTATTGGTTTTGGGCGGACATAGTTAGATTGGCCACCATTCATACCTACAAACATCAATAATTTAATGTAAACGTATGTACCTATAATAGCTAAAAAGAGACCAATTTCACATACCAATGACACGTATAAAAATTAAATCCTTTGCGTTCAGTTCAACATACACTTAACGAGGCAGCTAAGACTAGCGTCACTTGGGGATTAGCATTTTCGTGTTACCATTAGTTTATACCGATATTGTTGGTAATTAATCCACATTAATCCACTCGAAAATGTTAAGAGAGGTCCTGGTTTTTACTTCTAAAAAAGGGGTACCGGTACGCTGGAAAAGAGCCCTATAAGCCTACTCTTTTTCGATATCCCATCCGAACAATATGACGCTTTTACATGTTAGTCCCATCACTGACCAGAGGAAATGTTATATCTCGACCTATGCCGGAAACCCTATAACTAGCTATAGCAGGCAAGTGAAAAAGTGTCGAGCTTGTCGCAGTCCCCAATTTATTTATCGAGATGGTCAGAAATGGGTGGCTCTCATTATCTGTTAGTCAATTATTGTATTGCAAAAATTTAAAAAAAAATTAAACTTACCTCCTAACATAAGAAGGGGAAACATTTCTTCAAAACCGTCCATTCCAAACCCGATAAATCCTTCACTTACTCCACATAATAATAGATTTAAACCTAAAATAAGGCAGAAACAATGGTAATTCTCCATTCCACATAATGGGTTAAAAGAACTCGCTATACAGCTTCTTTTAGAAATGTCCCTGGGTTTTGTTTCATTATAAACCTAAACTGAAGCGTTTTCGTTAATTTCAAAATAACTTTTATCCATTATCAAACATGATTTTTTCCAAAAAACTATCTTGCAAAAATATTATCATAGTTTGTATGAAAAGTGTCCTGTCTGTATTTTAAGTCCATTCAATCTTATTTTCTGAAATTCTGAACATCCTATTCGTAAGAAATCTCAAACGTTGACATATTTTATGCAAAAGGGATAAGAATAAGATAACTTACCCAAAATATAGACCCCATATTGAGGAAAGCTGTTAAAAAAATTCATTTTCATTCCGAAACGAGCTACACGTGCTTCCTCGAGAGTGTCTGTGGTGTTACTGAGAAGCTTGGATCCTGTCTGACTAGAATTTCACATGATGTGTCCACCTTGCTCATCTGTATTCTTATAGACTGGTTCCTTCAACTGGATATCATCCATCATTTTACCACCTTACACCCTGAGAACTCGTTTCACTACTTAAATTTATTATTGTACATCGCAATTACCAGCAAAGACACCCAATTAATATAAAAAATTGTGGTTTTCTAGTTCTTTGAATTCATGTTATTGCACTTACGAGTTGTTTACGCCGTGCAGCTACCGATAAAACCCATTAAGTTGTTGATGTTAGTAAGTTTTTGATATGAACTCTACCTTACAGGTCAGATTTTGAGGGAACAAACAATACATCCCTTTCACTCTGTGTTAAGGAATTTTAAGATTGCAGTCGTATCCATGCGGTTGTCCTCAAGTGTATTTTAGAGCTCTTGTTGGTACAATTTCGAGGTGACAGATGATGCGAGAGCTTTTTTTGATACGGATTAAAGGCTTCCTCTAGTCGCTATTGAAGCCTCAAATACCCATTTAGTTGGCTAGGGGAAGTACTCAGGAGTAAATAATACTACACTTGAACACACAAGCGAAATTTCAATTTTTGAAGACATTTTTGAAACTTTTGCTAAATTGGGAACTTTTAACCAATTCTGTTGTATAAACAGACAAGAGGTTCACCATTACAGAAAACACCAAATAGAAAGACGGCTTATGTTTGTTTTCAGCCATCCGTTATTAAATGATGTTATAAACTTATGCCAGTTATTCAGGCGGTTTTCAAACTTGATGCATTATTAGATTTTAGGTAGTTATTATCTATCAAGGATGGTTAAAGTGTCATCTCTTTTGTTGTAAGGATTGGCAAGTTTAAAGACAAGTTAGAAATGAAATGAAATGAATGGAGTTTTACGTCCTGATTTTCTGCACCATGTGGACAAATGAAGACGGTAAAGACAAGTAAGAGATATATGATAAATAAACAAGCTGTGCACGCAAACAGAATGTAATGGACAATATCAGTCGGTCGAAAGGTAGAAAGGATCCTCAAGAACCTGAAAGTTAAGATTTTGCCTGACGCAAGGTCTTCCTTGGTCCCCCTTCAGCTGTAGTCTTTGTAGAACATTGATGTTATGATCGTTTAAGTTCTGGCTTTGACCATTGAAGCTTTGACTCGATGGATCTTTGGAAATCATGGATGTAATTGCGATTATTGTGACAAGATTGGTCTCAGAATAACTCGCTCAGGAGAGAAATTGCCTGGGGGAGACGAGGTTTGAAAACCTTTCAAGGGGATCTGGGGGAGGGGAGTGAATTCCAGATTCCAGATGGCACGAGATGACTGGTGACGCTGTTATCTATATTCTATAATTGAATGAAATTGCGAAAACCTGGATTGCCTTTTTGCACTTTGTAAATTCAAGAGTGTAAATGCACTTGTACAATGTCAATAACCTTTTTGATGCCAATACAACGTCAAAGTCGTTGTTAAAATTATACTCTGTGTCCAAGTTACCTATATTTTATGTAAATGGAAATTATTTTTGTCTAATATACTTATAATTTTGGCCATTCTGATGTTTGGTGACTTGTCCAACAATAAAACTGACAAGATAATTAGAGTACATATTTATGTTATCTTCTAAATATAAACATGAATAGAATAATAATTTCATTATAAACTACATTGCTATTTCATTCACAAGCACAGTTCAAAAGATCGTGGGAGAGTTTAATTTTATATAAGCACTTTATTACATAAGGTCCAAGATATCGGAGGAGACAATATATGCAAAGCGAAATGAAATTGAATCACGAAGTTTGTTTTCATAAGCCACCGTTCTGAATTTAACCGGCTTAACCTTTCTGTTCTTAACTTATTTCGCCAATCAAAAATTAGGTTTAAAATTCTGTTAATCTATCTCTATGCATTTTTTTTTTCATTTAAATGATATGTGTGTAACTCGTCAAAATAGAAAACAACTTTGGTCTGGTAGTATATTTCGCACTTTTCGTAACCTTATACAATATACGCAATCGGAACCAAAAACTGACGCGAATATTGGTATTGCTTATGTCATAAACTGATTAAAACTATATAAATTTTCGGGAAGGATCAGAGACGTCGATACTGAAAACAAGTCAAACTTGTTCAAATGTAGTAGCTTTGAATCAGGCCTATATTTGAAGAAAATGGACTAATTGCAATAGTACAGTTATTTTCGACGTGTAAACCTGAATTAGATGCATATTATAATTTATTTACGTCCCATTAACGCCGGATATTCGTCATTCAAGCCAGTAAAACCGGTTTGAGATACATATGTAATATTACTAATGAATATTTTTAACTTTTCAACATTATTTATTATTTTGACAGGTTAAAATGAGGTCAAAATTTGACTTCATTAAAGGTGAAAATATTCAAAGCTTTCCTTTTTTTTCTTGAGTGGAGATTGTTCAGGATTTAAATTCGTAAAAAAACGAAAGTTGGAAACAGTTATTAATGATTTCGAAAATATTCAATAGGGTTACGTTCTCTATATTTCATAGAACGTTTATTTGTGGAATTTTTTTTAAAGCTTTGAGATATGGCTCCACAGTTATTAATTCATTTATACCTAAAAATCTATGGTGAGCTCTGGAATTCCCGACCCCCCCCCCCCCCTCTCTCTCTCTTCCTTCCTCCCCCAGTAGAAAGGATAAATCGTATTGTGTCTACGTATGTCTACATTGTGACCTTATCTACTATAAAAGCCATTAGCACATAGATTATAACTACTCCATAGCACTAGAGAAATATGATATGGCTGATACATGGAATACAATGTGTTTTTGTGTTTATTGGTTTATTTTACATGTGAAAGTACATAGAGGATTATTGATTATATACACTATATTATATATTGTAAAATATTTACAAAGTAACAATAAGTATTGCATGTATACACGAATGTATTCCATCTTAACTGACGCAGTTTGGAATTGAAAAAAGAAATATTGCTTCTATTGAGTGCTAAGATGTGTTCTCCAACCATTAGGCATAACGATGACTAAAACGTTTCCCGGAAGTTACCGGTATCACATATTATGTACCAAATGATCGGTAACTCTGATGAAACACTTACGTTCCCCAGAATACATACGTCAACCAATAGACCCGGTGTTTTCAACTCCCCCACCCCCCTTATAAATCCTTACTATTTCGAGATTCTCTCTTAGGTTTTCTTGCAATATTTTTCATGCCGGAGAATATAGCCTGATTGAAGAGAAGTGCCTCATCCCTCCCCCGCACCACCCCCTATATGACTAATGAGGCGATTGGGTTCTCATTCTTCAACAAATTGTGCATTTGGAACATGTGTATGCACCAATCCCATTTCTTATACAATGTCTCAAATTCCACAATAGCTGTAACCGGTTTTTATGCAGTTAGTGCACATCGCTCCAAAATGTTATAACAAAACAAAAGATTTATTACAATGGTTGACCAAACGTCGAATTCAAATGTTGAGCAGGCGTCAGATCTACAACGCAAGGACTGGTAACTCGATGTGGACCCATCAAATAGTCTAACAAATAAGCCACCCCCGATCCCGTTGTCAGTCCCAAACTGTACGATAACGTCATAATATTACCTGGAAAAAACAAAGAAAAGAAATCTAGGTGACGATCATCATGTAACAAGAAATTAAAAGAAATTAACTTTCTTTTGACAAAAGTACACTTGCACAATCAAATGGTATCCTATTGTCAGTTAAGTATATCTTACGTGGTTAAGAAAACAAAAAAAAACACTAGGTTAACTTCCGTGTGATTTAAGTCCGAAACCTGCGCTCTCATATGATATCTGATTGTTATCTTATTTAAATTGACAGTGAAGTATATCGTAAAAGATGTATAATGTAAAAGATTTGGACTACATGGCAAGATTATTGACTAAATGCTTTAAAATAGCTATCATACAATTTCTCCTGTGTACTGCCTTATGTGATAGCTCAGACAATAGCTGTCGGTTAACCATCTGCTTGGCTAAAAGGCGCCGTAAGTTAAAATCTCCCTTATGGACAACCCAGTGACGATGAAATGCACAAAGGTGCACTAGGACCAAAATGGGTTATATGGCACCTGAACTCGATAAAAGTACGACGATGAAGCCGATACAATATTGCATATGGGTTATAACCACATCATATGATGCAAGATATATGTACAGTAATCTCAAATATAGCTGATACTTAAAATCATGAGCTGAACTTTAGCGCTGATCAATCGAGGAAGTCTTTCAATTGGCTCGATTCGGCCATCTAATTGTGTTAACGATATACTTACCACACAGTTCTCGTTGTTCATCAGGGACTCTAGATGGAGCTAGGATCATAGGAACACTACCAAAATAACCATTAGTAAGACCTAGTACAAGAGACAGCAGTAATGGCCATACATCACCAGATAACGTTGGGTGCTCTCTTGGTGTCACACATAACATCAACAGTGGTATGATCAACACGCGGCAGAATGTCGCTGCCACCAAACGACCGCGTGGCCAGTCATATGGTATTGAAGCAACTATCTAAAAAGAAGAATTAGTCCAATTTTAGTCGCAATTGTTACAAAAAAGTAGAATGTTCTTACAAAAGTAACACAATTGGCACAGAGATACTTTCTGAAAAAGATTTGCCAAAATGAAACCCATCCACTCAGAAAAGATTAACCAATGCAACGATAGTATTGCATGTTATTTGCTTATCAATGATATCAATGAATTGTGCATCACGTATACCTTTTTCAATCATGGGTTCTTCATTGCGAGGTTTGGCTATCATGGGCCTATTATAGATCATGCCGTCGATGCTGTTTAGGATGCAATCCACATCGACAAACGTTCAGTTCGTAGATATCTAAAGTCATCTTCTTACCTTTCCAAGAAAATCACAGCCGTTGAAAATTGCCATAATAATAATTGGCATCCAGCTTCCAAGTTTACAGCTGATGACCTCCGATTCTATACCGGGAAACAGACACAGGGTAACAAAATAAGCCAGACCAATAGATAACATGTAGGGCCAAACTGTTTTTGAAACTTCATATCTCATTCTTATACCCTCTGAAAGTAAACAAGCGGAGAAGTCGAACTTTAAATGGAGTTTAATATGAATCCACACAATACTCATGTACCATGAGTAAATATTTCGTAAGGAGAGTTTGTCTTTTGAGAATCGTGTGCAGCTCCAGCGACTTTTGTTCTTCTCGGAGTACGTTATACAGGATTTATGGAAACCAAAGATTGGAGTGTATATCTGAATAGATATAGAAATCATATAGATGATCCAGAACTATGAATAAACCACGCTTCATAACATTTATTCTTGATGTGCATTACTCCTAAATTGGCAGGTATGTTATCCGCGATGTTGTGGTCAAGTTGGAACAGTCGTATTGTAAAAACATATGGAAGAATGGTACAGGACAACTTACTCTTGATGCTTGAAACTTTTGGCACATGAACTTTATAACTTTGTCCTTGGAACATAACTCGTTCCTCGTTACTTCTCGTGATTTCTCGTACTGTATTCTCACTGTTACCAGAAGTACTACTATCAGCAGAACGTGATGTCGGTGATGTTGGACTCTGTATTATCAATACACCATATCTCTGGCCAGTTGATTGTTCCTGGAAATCTACCTAGAATGAATTAGGGGGTGATCTTACTCTCAATATGCAACAGCTAGATGCAAGATTTTGGTGAATCCGCTTCTTCGTCTGAAGACTAATGCTGCAATTTCAAATTCAAAACCTGTTTCCAACTAATTGTCCTATGATGGGATGACCAAATATTTTAAACATATGCCAACGATGAGGGTTTTTGTTTATAATACATTCTGTGGAATACACCGGATAATGCTTGGTTACCATACAGCTTTGGATACTGCAAAATTGACTCTAAAACTTTCTTGATAAATGCCGTTGTCAATTGGGGCACATGTTTTAGTGTGAAGTGAACTTTTTAGATGATAAACTAGATGCTTATGATTATTAAGTCCTCCGAAGCTACATGTAAATCATTCAAGAATGCGAGGAGGCGGTATCAACATTTCTGGAGTTGTGCATTAGCCAAAGACTTCAGCGTTGGAAAAATGCAGACGACAACATGCGGAGGATCTGATACAATCTTACTAAGCTTACTTCTTCTGTACAACCACCTCCTTTCGTGATCCCTCTCTGATCTTCTGGAACTCCAGCACTTTCACAAAGACTCACATAAAACCGGACGAATTCTGTTCTTCGAATGATATGAAAGACGATGAAGCAGACCCACAAGATAGAGATGGAGATGATGAAGAAGATGATGGTGTTGATCCTTTGATCGTTCAGTAAAGATTTGGTTATTATTCGATTCATTGAGATGATCAAACCAGCAGCACCTGAAAGAAAACGAATAGGAAAATCACTCTGTGGTCAATGTATCCATAAGGAAGAACAACATTCCAACCACTTAACACGTGTTGGGAACCACCATGAATGTGAAGACCATGCCCAGAACACCTATTGTTGTATCCCTCTAACTGCTCGAATTCTCATACAGTGGAGCGGCCAGGTATCTGTGACCTCACAGAGTAACTACACAGAGTTCAAATGAACTTTTATTATTAATATACAGGAACTGGTTCAACCAAGTCCACGGTCCAAAAAATATTTCTCGGAGAGGGGCCTTAACCCACTTAAGTCATTTAGTCTAACCACTATACCTACTTTCTCCTGTCATAACAGCTTGAGTATATCTTGATGGTAACATGCTGGTGAATCCATAGAAACTAGACTGTTGAACTGAAACAATATATAAAGTAACATTTAAAATCCAGTCACGAGTGTCCAAAAGAAATATATTACTAAAATAACACTGTTAATGCACCTCCCAGTTGACTGGTCGAACAATGATATCTGGTGTTCCAGGTTACAAACACCATTAAAATACTGTACCATATCTGTGGACTCAAAAAGGGATGCCAAATAATGCTACAGTGTTGTTGATTCAGTGTTTTACGCAGGGAATACGCTCACCTGACAAGCTTACAAGTTATGGTGTGGTCAAGAAGATATCTGGATTTTAACTATGAAAGAAAGGTGTCCTTACCTGTAGCTCCAATAGCAACTACAGCAACAGCAGTCAGCGTAACTTTATATCCGATATCCGGTGTAAACACTTGATACCACACATCACAAAGGGCGATAATCAATAACACCACAAACGACACGAGGTATCCAAACGTTATTCTAACAGGCATACTAAGTGCTTCCACCAGCACGTTATTAATACATACGCTGACAAACGCTACAATGATATAGGTCATACTCATGTCGAATATAATAGTACTATTAGGAAATCTGTTGTCATAATAGTCCACAGCAGTAATAAAACTATTGTACGGAAGCAGAAATCCAGCTCCCGCCAAAACTAAAGAGAGGTATATACAGCTACATGGATCACGTGGTGGATTAACTCTATCCTGATTGGCTGTTCGTCTTGGTCTTGTCGACGGCGACGACAACTGACAGTAGCCTCGAGTCAGGTTTTCATCCATCTTGTTATTTTATGTTGTTCCAACCATGACACACATTCCCTAAAAAATGCAAGACAAATAGTTATTTGGAGAGGTTCAATTGATGAAAATCGAAATGTAACCCTAAATAGGATTGTAAAGAAGTTTTCAAAAAAGAATTATATGTATCTGGGACACTGATAACATCAATTTGCACCATTTCCAAAAAGTGATTCTATCAGTGTCCCAGATACATATAAACAATTTAGAAAACCTCTTTACAATCCTATTTACCCACGATACTCCCATCATATAGGAACCTTTATTGTACTACCTTGTTCAACGCCATAACATGTTACCAATTAATTAACGCTTGTGTTTAATTTTCCGAACTGGTTAGAATCGATTTTTCATATTTTGCTCCGCTGAATATTAATGTCAAAGAACTAAGTCACATACTTTTGACGAGAAGTCATGCCTGGTAGGCTCCAATGTTATTGAAATTAAATTGCAATTTCATGTCATTTTTTGATACTTGTAGTCTACATTTTAATGTAAATAGTTTTCTACCAAAGGTCCGTCCCAAATGTAATATTTTTAATCCAATCAAAGCGTGTCATGTAGAACCCGATTCTTGATAAAGTAAGTGGATCAGTAGATTAATATGACAGCATCTTTGGGTTTCTTTATCCTTAATTCCTTAATTTATCTATAAACAGGTATTAAATAACACGTTTTGATTGGTTAAAAATAATATCATTGAGACGGGTAGAAAACTATTTAGATTATAATGTAGACTAAAAATATCAGGAAACCAACAATTGATTGTGCCCAGGATATCGTTCCAGACTCCTACACCATTATCAAGATGATTTTCACCAACACAAAGCACCATTCAATTGTAATTCCCTAGACTTTCCAAGTCATCTCTCCAATTTGTAATGCTCCATATACCGATAAACACAGAGTGACATTTCAAGGCGAGATAAATGTAAAATTAGAAAAAAGACAAAAAAACATAATTATGTATCGATTGATGCAGAAAACGACGAGCAAGAACATAATCTACAGACCATGTTAGTAATTTTCAAAATCAATATTATTTTCTTTCTGTTGTATTGACTTTGTTCAATGTATTGACATTTCATCCATCAAGTCACATCATATAAACTAGTCAATAGAAATTAAGGATAACAACAAAGCACTAGCAGTCCAATTGAAGGGGTTATCCACCGCAAATTGCAAAAGGTTGAATTGCTCTGATGTGCATCTCAGAAAGGTTGTCCTAATAACGTACTAAACGTTTCCCAAAATCCCATCACGCCAAAGTGGTCTGATTGCATATTTTGTAACTCGTGATTTAATCTATAACCCTGCATTTTTAGTGACATGGAATAAAGCGTCTAGTCGGATAGGACAATAAACCGAGGCCCCGTGTGTTACAGGCTGTGCACGTTAAAGAACCCTCGACAGTTGGAAATCGAAAAAGAGTAGGCTAATGCCGCTGTCCTGGCAAAATTTCCCTCATTGTACCCTGCATGGCGTTGCCCATCTTCATTAGCCATGGTGTGAAAGGTAGGACGTAAAACTCCATTCATTTCATTTAATTTTTTTTGCATTTTTAGTAACACAACTGAAGTGTTTAAACTAATATTTTCAAAGACTAAAAAAATAACCATGGAGGATTCCTTTCACAATCTGCTCACATAAAACCGTCTTGGCATTTTCCTTTTTCAGATTATCCCTATCTGTCAACAATTTGGTCCAATGAAAACAATCGGAACATATGGCTGCAACTGTCAAAATGCACTAACGGCACTAGCACCAACCTTTGCCTAGCTGCTGATAGCTGAAGTCAGAGGGAACAATAATCACATTACCGAAATACGTACTTCTTGGTGATTTTTTTTTTTTTTAACAAGAATTTGTTCGTAGATGTTTGAATAATCAGACTATCAAAGGTAAAGCTCAAATTTTGCAGATGTTACCATATTTTCTGACTATCTGACCAGCATTTGATAACAACTACCATCACTGAGGCTCGACATTGGAACATAATGATATTGCATGAACCACGGTTCCAGTATCGGGAATAACAAAATGACTGTTCGATCTTCATCAGTATTCTGATCAATATATCCAGCTTAGGTTATTGATTGACCGATTGACATTACGAAATGTATCTTTTTCAGAGATTCCACATACTCATTAATGTTATTTCTGTATCATAGGTATAGGTATTGGCAAATTATTAGATTTCCCTGGAATTCCGAACGCATGGATGTAACAGAAGCTTCTGCGACATTTTTTTAATTGTTTAGTTTTATGATTAAATGTAGGTTATTATAACTTCTCCTCGATGTACCAAACTTTCATATTTTTTAACTAAAGTAATTTTCCTTTGTAAGACTTTCATTTCATTTAAAATTGGCGGATGAAAGTCTAAAGTTTTAAGAACAAATGCACTGAAATGTACCCTAAAGAATAGAAAACTTGCGACATAGATTCGATTTCGAAATTTCTATGGATCTATAGCATCAGGAACCTGTCTGTGTTGCAGATCAAAAGCAATGGAATATCTTGTTCAAAAGTCTGAAAGCAATGCATCGATCAATGTCGACATGGAAAAATTTCATAATGGAAGTATTCTGATCGAGTTACTCTGACATGGCAACAGTATATATAAATATAAATGCGTGTCATATAAAATAAGGAAATGATGAATTTATGAATATTTTCCTTTTTATATGGAGTCAGACGTATCTCAAAAATAAAACCAAACGAATTTGCGTGTTAATTTTTGTTCGATTCTTGAATACTAGCATTTATATTGTGTATATAATATTCATTTTGTATTGTATATAACACTCCTTTGTATAGTTATATAATATTTATTTTGTACTGTATATAACATTCCTTTTTATAGTTACATAATATTCATTTTGTATTGTATATAACACTCCTTTTTATAGTTATATAATATTCATTTTGTATTGTATATAACACTCCTTTTTATAGTTATATAATATTCATTTTGTATTGTATATAACACTCCTTAGTATAGTTATATAATATTCATTTTGTATTGTATAAAACACTCCTTTGTATAGTTATATAATATTCATTTTGTATTGTATATAACACTCCTTTGTATAGTTATATAACATTCATTTTGTATTGTATATAACACCCCTTTGTATAGTTATATAATATTCATTTTGTACTGTATATTACACTCCTTTGTATAGTTATATAATATTCATTTTGTATTGTATATAACACTCCTTTGTATAGTTATATAATATTCATTTTGTATTGTATATAACACTCCTTTGTATAGTTATATAATATTCATTTTGTATTGTATATAACACTCCTTTGTATAGTTATATAATATTCATTTTGTATTGTATATAACACTCCTTTGTATAGTTATATAACATTCATTTTGTATTGTATATAACACTCCTTAGTATAGTTATATAATATTCATTTTGTATTGTATAAAACACTCCTTTGTATAGTTATATAATATTCATTTTGTATTGTATATAACACTCCTTTGTATAGTTATATAATATTCATATTGTATTGTATATAACACTCCTTTGTATAGTTATATAATATTCATTTTGTACTGTATATTACACTCCTTTGTATAGTTATATAATATTCATTTTGTATTGTATATAACACTCCTTTTTATAGTTATATAATATTCATTTTGTATTGTATATAACACTCCTTTGTATAGTTATATAATATTCATTTTGTATTGTATATAACACTCCTTTTTATAGTTATATAATATTCATTTTGTATTGTATATAACACTCCTTTGTATAGTTATATAATATTTATTTTGTATTGTATATAACACTCCTTAGTATAGTTATATAATATTCATTTTGTATTGTATAAAACACTCCTTTGTATAGTTATATAATATTCATTTTGTATTGTATATAACACTCCTTTGTATAGTTACATAATATTCATATTGTATTGTATATAACACTCCTTTGTATAGTTATATAATATTCATTTTGTATTGTATATAACACACCTTTGTATAGTTATATAATATTCATTTTGTACTGTGTATAACACTCCTTTGTATAGTTATATAATATTCATTTTGTACTGTGTATAACACTCCTTTGTATAGTTATATAATATTCATTTTGTATTGTATATAACACTCCTTTGTATAGTTATATAATATTCATTTTGTATTGTATATAACACTCCTTTGTATAGTTATATAACATTCATTTTGTACTGTGTATACTGTATCTAACACTCTTTTGTTTAGAATATATTTATTGTATATAACACTCGATTATATACTTTTGTATGGTGTATATAACTTAATTTTGTATAGTGTATACACAACTATTTTGGTAGTGTATAATTATATAAGTTTACATTAGTTTGTATGAATAAACCAAGTACCAACGACCCGAACCGCAAAACGAAACCCGAAAGCCGTATCAACATTTTTGCAAATCAAATCAAATCAGGTAGCAGCTTATGAACTTTTCACATGAGGAAGTATATCAATCATAAGTGAATCCATATTTCATAATGAAAATGAGAATGGTATAAAAGAATTGAATAAGACAACTGTGAGACAAAAGAGAAATTTATTAAAGGTTTCTGAGTGGGAAACGTCGCGAAAACATCCTGAAATCTATTTTTATTTTAGCGTGGTCAGGTCAGAAATAGAAGACCTTTTTGCCTTTTATGTACCAATGGAGAAACACATCAACAAAGTAATGGAAAATTATCTATGCTTCACAACAACTTTCATTCTTGAAATAATTCATTGAATGTTGACCTTGGTCGTAAGGAAATATCGTGTTTTCTGGAGGTTCGCAGACCGTTTCCAATATAAATTTAGGTCGAA